TGAACCTCTGCCATCATCTAGTACAGGTTTGTTCAGTCCTGCCAAGAAACCAGGTACAAGAAGGAATCGGGATGTGGTACTTGTGGAACAGATCATCTGGGTTTCCAATGTGAAAACGAAGACACACTCTAACCTCAAACCTAGGGCTACTTTTCCCAGAAGTCAATTAACCTACCAGTATGAACACAGGGAGAACATACAAACTCCACCAAGATAACATGCCAGATATTTTCAGATCTACACATCAATAGCATTTTCACCTTTAATAGAAGACAGCAAAATATTCAGTAACCATTTGTAATTGTACACAGAAAGTAAAAACAGAGAAAGTGACGTGCTTATAATTTGTGGCATTTTTTCTATCGACGCAATTTCTCCATTTTAATGATTCTCAATTGTGTCTGTGTCTTTTGAAGAGCACTAACCTCTTCAAAACACCTTAGTTTCTTTATGGGTGCTTAACAATCGAAGGTTTTGATGCAAGTCTTTTAGCGCTGTTGCTTCTGTTTTGCCCAGAATCCTCAGAATACACATCTGTCCATCACCTAACTTTCCTTTGTGTGCTTCGTTTCAACATTCCTAGAATCTGGAAACAGCTTTACTGGAAGAAAAAAGCTGGAGAAGAAGCATCAAGATGAAAAACTAATTTGCTGCTTTGAAGAAACAAAAAAACATAATTCGTTGGCATCTATAAGATATTTTTCAATATTTGCTATGTCTTTCCCAACCCTTTGACTAGATCTCGTCCCTGTCAGAATTAATTGTGGATTGTTTTAAATTATTATCCACAATCTCGTATCACAGATAAAGAAAAAATATTAGAAATACACAACCACATTGATTGGGAAATCCAGTTAATATAAAAATGATACATCAGCACTGCCCATTGCAGTTTACAATATCATTCCATGGTAATCCTATATTCCAAAATAGCATCCTCATAATGCCACACTCAGTGTGCCTCTAGTACAACAAAAAAAGTGATATATTCTGACATTTTGATGCATTGGAGCATCCCTGCACACACAGGGACTGCAGATTGGGGTAGTTAATGTTTGATTTTCTACATGATTTCTCCTTTAGATGTTCTCACGTAGTAGATACAATTTAGGCACCTTTTAAAAGATCAATCAGAAAACCCTTACCCAGTTATTTCAATAACACAGAATTTGATAAATTACCAAATTAAATTACCAAATTTGTGAAGCTATGTATTTAACACTCATTATAAAACTGCACTCTGTATTTACTGTATTTCCAGGGAGATCCAGGAGTGGCTGTATAAAATGCCAGCAAACACGATCTCTCCAGCTGGCTGTCAAAGTGTTATATGGCTTCTTTGCTTTCCTTATAATAGCTGTTGCTGTTCTTGCATCATTAGGTAAGTTTATTTTACACTAATCCATATTAGTGTTTAAACTCTTCATCTCATAATGCTTTAAAAGTGGCACCAAATTTAAATGAATCATACACACATACTGTAAAGCCTTTGCATCATGCATATCAAATTATTTATATGGACAAAACTGGTATTTTTGTGAAGTTCTACATATGTCAGCTGTTGAGGTGCAGGTTATTTTGATACTTTATTCCTATATTCCTATATTGTTGTTGCTAGTTTCAGTAAGGTTGTTGCTCATACCCTTCAGTATATTCCCTATGCATATTGTATTGTACTGTATATTATTCCTAATAATGACTAAATTCTATGGGTTTCAATAAACTGTCTGAACAAAAGGGCTTTGTTTTCAAAGCAAAACTGACACTGTATTTTATGCATTAAATACCTACTTGTTGATCTGAATTATTTTACAGGGAATTACTTGTGAAACTTCCAAGGTCATAACAATTGGATGCTATATTGTGTTTGGCAGTTATTTTTATATTCTATATCATGTAATTATATAATTTGTTTATAGAAATATTCAGACTGTAAGTACCTTTACAGGGACAAGGGTTTTCATTGAGAATTTTCAAATGATATTCTTTTCACAACCAAGCAATGATTAAGCGACACATACCTCCTGACAATCCAAGACATGGAAGTTTCACATGCTTTGATCCCTCAGATTAAAATTGGAGCTTTGTTTCTTTTATGACCCAACATAAAATCCATAGTTCACACTGTCAGAAGATGTTTTTTTCCAGAATCAGTGATACAATATTGGATGCTTAGATTGAAGATAAAGTTAAAAATATTGGAAAGGTTCTGCTGTTTCAAATTATATTAGTCTGAAATGGACATTTTAAAGGTAGTTGTGTGAGGGTGAGACAGTGAAATCTCCTTAATCTTCTGTCATCCCCACCATACATTACAATAAGTGCATGAGCAAATGAATCATGGATGAATGAACTGCATAAGACGTCATATTACAGAGTGTATACTCCCACCTTTTTGATCAAATGCTCAAACTCTTTGTCATATTTTCAGTATTCAGAAAAGTTGATTCCTTATCTCAAGAAGAATCTTTTTATAACAAAAAGATTGCCAAAGTCCAGGAAAGTATCCAAGGTGAGATGTTTTTTTGACAGTTGAAACTTAATGCAGCTGAATACATGCACCTCAATAAAAGAAGTTAAATTAGCAGACCCATTAAATGAAAGAAAGGTTGGCTGAGTACTTTTCCTGAACAATAGTCAAATACTCTTGCTTCATACTATCTTCCTGAGAGGCCGTCTGTCAAAAAAGATATTAAAAGACAAGTCCTCACATCAACAGTGCATTAAGTTTAATTGTTTCTGCAATATTTGTTCTCATACTTCGAACTCACATCAAAGTTTTTAGACCAGGTCTTTGATTTGAGATTGGCCTACACATTGAAAGCTAGAAACAAAAATCTGATTACATTTGTAACCCCATGGTTTTACAGTGACCTCACAGAGGTTTAATTGTACCATACCACACAATATAAGGTACATAGATGACCAAATGAAGAGAAAACATATAGAAATTACATTTCCACATTGATTTTTCTATATCTGATGAATGTAAAAATTAGTATTTATATCAATTGATTTTGTGGTGGCAGCTTCTCATGCTGTACTGCATATAAGGCTTTGTGTGTTGTTATTCTTGTTTGCTCGGAATACCATTCATTGTTCTGTTCTAATGTAAAACTACTACACAATGGATTCAATTTTTATTTGTGTTGAAATTTGTTTATTTCAGACCTCACCTCCACAAACAATTGCACTGCTTGGTTTGATGTCGTCCACTTTCGCCAAGAGATTGGCAAGCTAAAAAAAGAGTTTGAAGACATTCAAAAAATGATTTTGGATCAAGAACAGACATTAGACCAAGCATCCAAAACACAGCAGAGTCTTACTTACTCAAACAGCCGAATAGTTCGTGACCTACAGAATTATTCCATTGCTATTAAGATGATCAATCAGTCCTTAGAGAGGTATTTAGATCAGGTGAATGGCTGGCAGATAGTTATAAATGAGACAGAAGTAGCCATGAAATCTTTTGCTCAAGATCATTACGACGTTAAAGCTACACTTCAGCAAGTGAACTCTACGGTTGCACTTAGTTCTCTATGGATAAATGCCATTCAGAGGAAAGCAGATGAAGAAACACTGGTTTTACATAAAATGACAGCAGAGTGGCAGAATTACAGCAAAGTTTTGGGAGCTATGCGATATAATTCAAGCACAACCAGCCAACTTGTGAGAAGCATTCAGACCAGTATCTCAGCCATATACCAGAGACTAAGCATGAGCTCAGAAACAGTGCATGACATGACCTTACATGTCATGAATCTGCAAATGCAGCTCGACAATGTTACCTCCTTCATGGATGAGCACGAGGAGAACATGCAAGACCTCCATTACCATTCAAAGTACTATGAAAACAGAACCAATGAAAGGTTCGAAACCCTGGAGGCACGAATGAACTCTCTGGAAAAGGAAATTGACACGATCTCAGACAGCATCAATGCCACAGTCAATCATGTGCAAAGCATGTACAAATACATTAATATAGAAAGCACGTCTTGCCACTCCAAGATGGGTAGCCACACAGAAGAGCTACAGAACCTGAACAACACAGTTCTGCTTCTTCTGCACTTATCAGACATACTTAGACAGCAGTACATGCTCTTAAGTGTGAGGTTGGATTTAGATGTGAGGAACCTCTCCATGATCATGGAAGAAATGAAGCTTGTCGACACCAAGCACGGTCAGCTAATTAAGAACTTCACAATTCTGAAAGGTAGGATTCATAGCAACTTGTGTTATGTAGTCTAGATAAAGGTTAGATCCTACGTGGAGCCTAAAAAGGAATAGGAATCACGTAAAATGTGAAATTTTATTTAAATACAATACGTTAGAAGCACATTTTGTGTAGACTTTAAAAAATGATCTCTCATTCTGTGCACAAAATCTATGCCTGTAGTGATATATGACTATTTTTTGTGAGAGGGGTGAATGTGAACAGCAAAAATACTTTAGACCTTTTTAAGTAGCCTAAAGTATTTCTTGTGCAGTAAGTGGATAAGTATTTTGCTTTTGGTCTGCACAACTAACTGTACCTGAAACCTTTTGCAGGTGCGCCCGGGCCTCCAGGTCCCAAAGGAAACAAAGGTGAAGTGGGACCTAGGGGACCTGTTGGACTCACAGGCAACAAGGGGGACAAGGGGTCTTTGGGGATCCCTGGGCCCCGCGGTGAAAAGGGTTTCATGGGGCCAAAGGGAGACCCAGGAGAACCGGGCACTGCGGGGCTGAATGGAAGCCCAGGCCTTAAAGGAGCTAAAGGATCTTTGGGTCCACCAGGAGCCAAAGGAGAAAGAGGACTGAAGGGTGACATGGGGCCAATGGGCCAGGATGGGGCACCTGGCCCCCAGGGGCCTGCAGGAATTCAGGGAGCAGCTGGCCTCCCAGGAATACATGGGTTCCAGGGCATTAAAGGAAAGTCTGGTCCTCCTGGCCCACATGGACCTCCTGGGCCCCCCGGGCCGCCTGGACCGTCCTCTGGGCCACATCTCCATCTTCGCTGAGCAAATGCACACTTTCTGAACTTCAAACATGGGCAAGTTTGGCTCTTTAACCACGGAAATGTCAGAGATATTTGCTTTTTATGCAGCTCTGTGCATCTCATTTAGATCCTGTATTAGCAGCTCTTATTTGAGGTCTAATGGTAACACATGAATATTATCTATAAGAAAGTTTGAGTGTAGAAGCTCTGTTACTGTGTTTATTTTACTGAGTACTGTACACAGGGTGAATTACCTGAAACAGATACAGGTACTGAAAAATATCTTCTGCACAAGTATAGAGAACAAATACTACAGTATATGAGATAATTAAGCAATGATAAAAGGAACAAATCTCACTCCGAATCCTATGTGGGTTTTAGTGTATGGGCCTGGTTTCATGCAAACTATTTAACTGGTGAGTGACCAGTTTGAAGAAGAATGGCACAGGTATTTTAGTTGGTATCTTCATCTCTTATAAAGATAATTACTGATTATTTCATTTACCTATATCCAAAGCGTGCCACCTTTAAATACAGTATGTAACACAATTCACACCTCAGCACTAACAGTTTGGAAGGAAATATCAATTTTCCCATAAAAGTATGTATATGTATGGATTTGTGATACATAGGAATCCATAAATGACAGAGTACTTACATAATAACAGTTTTAGTGAGATACAGCTTATGTTTAGTAATACAATTTCAATAAATGCAGTATTTGTCTTAGGAAATGACTTTAACTATACAATGGCACTTTAGCATTTTAGCAGAAATGTATAGCATGTAAGAAAACATCTGGGTGCATTTGTCCATTTGCTGTCTCATTTATGACAAATGTTGTGATATTGACTTATGCACATTGACTTACATGCACATTGAATCATTCAGAGCAGGTACTCTGAAATAAATGAACCAATTGAGGTACAAATCTATATTTTCTGTTTTGGTCAGAAAAATGTAGACTTAAAAACTTTAAATGTTTACTATACACATTACAAAATACAATGTGGATTCATTTTGACTGCAGATATTCAGGTATGTTGCAAGTATGGAAGACTATTACAGAATTATTTTTTAATGTAAACAAAAATGCTTATAGACTTGATTCACAATTTTTGAAAGACAACTCTCATAAGTTGTATGTTTGAGATTGGAAAAGCAACCTAAAACATGAAACTAGCTGTCGTTGTAACCAAAACATATTGGATCTGAAAATTAAAGTACCTAATGAGATAAGGTACACCTAGTGGGACGTGAAATATATAATTTCCTTGCAAAGTTAAAATTTTAGTACTTTCATGTGCTTAGATTTTATGCTTCAGTATGTGTCAGAGTAGTTCTATTTTATAATCCATAAGAGGTCCATAAGAATTACAGCATTGTTTCTGATTCTTTTACCAAGGGAGTGCTTGGTACTGCCATGGTTTTTGCACCTAATCAAGATTTTATCCTGTATTTTTTATACATTTTATTTTTGCAGCTGTTGTGCAAGTACAATAATAATTGTTTTATATATTGTTTAAAAAATAAAGAATGTAAAACTTCAACATAACATTAATTCATTTTTTACACTGTATAAATACAAACCACTGAATACAAAAAAAAATACAATGTGAACAATTTTTCTGCACCCGAGCAAAAATTGTAGCATTACTGTTCCTGAATCAATCTCTAGGTGTGTGGCCAGGAAAGACATAAAGGAGTATCCTGTGCTGACTGATAGGTTACAGGACACGAATATTAAGTTTACAAAATTGTCACAGAGGCATTGATAAATTCATTGCAATTGAAATCTTCAGGATCAACAGTGACCCATGGAAAGCAAATGGAAACTAAGGAAAAATGCCTTCATAACTGAGAGCTGCAAGTACAGAACATCTTTTAATTTGTGCTTGTGGGAGTTTGGAACAAGATACCCAGCAAAGATGTTGAAGCTAATAAGTTTGCTTCTTTCATGAACTTTGAAATTGTGTAGCTGCTAGCTACCAAATGAGGTATATGCTAAATGGCCTCCTTTAGTTTATAACCCTCCTTATCTTTTATGTCCATCTCAAAGGATGAAATGTGACCACTACCAAAGCAGTAGAAGCTCCACACAAACAATATCAAGAGAAGACTTCATCCAATGATGATAGAGATCAGGGTGTGGAGTCACCCAATGTAGTGCCATCATCTTTTTTTATAGGTGCAGTCACGCTATTCAATTCAATTAAATTCGAAATACTGTGTTCATCCCCAGGGAGGTGATTAAAGCAGCATGTGGCGTAACATACAACACACAACAATAAACAAAGTACATACAGAAATAAAAACCGTGAACAGACCATAGAAGTGATGGAGTTTTTGTAGAGGGGGCTCTGTTCGGTAGACATCATATTGATAGTACTTCTTTACAGTCATCTTTTGTCAGCCAACCAGATATTTTTTTAAGGATGGTTAAAGATTAGAATAATTTAGCAAAAGTGACTACACATAGAACATTCCTACTTGAAGTGAGCCTGGTTTCATTTTACTAGCTTCATATCATCTACAGGGGGTCAAAGACACTCTGTATAAAAAATGAAGTAGAAGGATTCTGTAGAACATTTGGAAGTGGGATTTTTATTATAACAAATGTCATTTCTGGAAAAGGCCACATCTGCAATGTTTATGTACCGATTCCAAGTAGCAGCTGCTGCTGCTAAGGGATTGTGTGTAGTCTGTTTTCATAGCCACTTGATCCCCAGAGGTGATAAAGTGAGGCTGACCAGGAAGCCTTTGGCTGTGTCCCATAAAATGTAGGGGTTGTCAGCTCAACCGTAATTCAATTTTCTCTGCAACATCTCTCTTAGTAATAGTGAGGTATGAAAATACCAGTGGGACGTACGCAAGGATGTATCAGTGAAAATAATTCTCTTATTTTCTAATCCATCCTAGATGGGGAGGTAGTCTCTTCAGATGTCATGACCTCTTCTGTCTTTTGTACCAGGGTGGTTTTAATTTTTTGGATTAGAGCTGTTGGAGATGAAATCTTTTACCATCTTTCAGCTTCTGTAAGATAATACACTTAAAAGATAGTAAACATTTCACTCCTGCAGGGAGCTTGTTTATTATCAAATGGAGCATGGCACACAGAAATATAGAGAAAAGAGTTTGGAGATGAAAGAGCCGTGTTTGAGTCCGATAGTTGACCCATTAGTGAAGTTACTGTACTGCATGCAGCTGGATACTAACACATTCTGGAGGGCATCAATAATTCAGGAGTCTCTACCAGAATTTTTTTAACTCAAATTCAAAAATATTAAGTAGAGAGGTTTCTCCTGACATTTTTCCTGTTCGGCTGTAAAAATCCTGTCAGATATGCTTCTTAAGGATCTGAACCCACACTGAAATTCTAGTAGAATTCTTCAGCAGGAGGAATTAAATGGTTCACAGGGCTTTTTGCAATGATTTTACATAAAATGGACAGTGGCGAGATCTCTATGTAATTTACACAGTAGAATTTATCTCCCATCTTTAAGGCATGGCGTTCTTGAAATCAATCCAGATTACCTCTTCTTTTAAGATCTGTATAATAATACATGGAGATGTAATGTTAGTTCCTGTCCACCATGTTTAAAATTGTCAGTGGGAATTCTATCACCTTCTGCTACTTTGTTCTTTTTTTATTAATGACGGGTTTTCCGTTCTATTTAGACATGCACCCTGAATGCACATCCTCCTAATCTACACTCGTTCCCATAGATACTTTGTTCCTGTGCTGAAATAATGGGAGTTGAAATAATCCTATTTGTGTCATCTCCCATGTAGCTTCTCTTGTTAAAGACAGAGAAGATTCCTTTAAGGAATCTCAGACTTTTAGAACAAGCCGTGTTGCTCATTGAATAGATTGAGAAGTAGAAGTTAGTTTTTGTTAAATTGATTCAGATACTTTCATTTCGTGATCTGTGACGATAACAGTATTGTAAAATTGGAGGACTACACATTGTACATATACAATTAACACCATAAGGACTATGACCATAAGGTATAGTTGACAAGGCTACAGAGGAAGATTTGTAAGGCCAGGAGCCACAAGATGTTTCTCTTCATAAAGACACTAACCTTATAGATAGCGAGGTGCTGGAGGGACATTGAAGGCCTTCTGGAGACAGAAGATGGCCGTTACAGAAAGTGGTGCCATTCCATTGCTCCAGGAGCAAGAGCCACATCCTTAATTCAGCATCCAGTTTTACACAATGGTGCAGAGAAGTAAGGTAGAAGGCAAGGTCAAACAGGAAGATGCCAGTGGTCCACTAGGGATGACGTGTACTGTAATTCAAGTGACTGAGGAGGTTTAAGAGCTCAAACTGAAACAGAGTGGAAGAAAGTTAGGAATTGTCTTCAAGTGGCCAGGCAAGGTTAGAATCAAGGATGATCCCTAGACATCCAAAGGAGAGAAAATGAAGGGAACAACCAAAATCAAATTTGAGGGGAGCATCAATCAGAGAAAGAAATGAAGAATGGAGAGAAAATTTGCAAATGAAGGGAGATTAAGCAGAAGGCTTCTGAAAGGGTGGTGTGACTGTCGAAAGCAAAGTGGGCTGTCTGTCAATTACTTTTCTCCTTGGTCTAATGAAGAGCTAACCTCGTTAATGTTTATTATTTATAAAAGCTGGGTCAAGTGGGCTTGTTTGGTTTGGAACTTCAGTTAAGAGCTTCCCTTTATTTATATGAGCTAAATTTTTCATTTATAGAAGCTCATAAAATAAAAATAATGCATTTAAAGTTGAAAAATGGATGGAAATACATGTATTTTAGTTCATATAAATAAAAGTCTATTTCTCTGTAATGTGAGAATGTAAGTTAACTTTCCACGCCAAGGGTGGTGACAATAATCTATAAAATGTTTTTGCTATTGTTCTATGATTTTCCTCTGAATTTAATGGCACATGTGGTAAGCAACAGTTTCTTCATGTACAGTATGGTATTTTCTTTCAGTCCTCATTTTTTTCTGAACACAAGCAGCTTTTTAACTATAGCCATATGGACACCAATAAATCACTGAAACTGTTATATTGTTTGGCTTTTTATCCAGTTTTTTTTCTCCAGGCATAAACAGATTACCATGCAGCTATACCATAATGAAATTAAATTTTAATCTGTATCTCCAATGAAACAGAAATAGCCATTGTTTAAAATATGTTTCTTCTGTTTTTAGTAATACTAAGATTGTAACGATAATACTACGCTGGGGTATATTGTATATCAGTCCCTATATACTCCTTAAACCTGAAAGAAGAATATGTGCCTTATGAAATATTATACAACCTAAGCTCCTTGGTGCATAACATAATGACTCCCTGAGCTGTGGTGTGGTGCAGGCAGCTTTTAAATCTGCTACTACACTTCATACCAGTGCATAAAAATCTAACTAATCTAATCTAATTAGATTATGGTTTGGTATAATCTGTATATTGTTGGCCCATAATACCTAAAATTTGATTGTGCTGATGCAGTGCAACTAAATAGTCTGCTCACTGTAAAATGCATATTTCAATCTGACTTTATACAGTTTCACTGCTGTTGAGCTCCTTATGGCATCTGACTTGGGTGTTTTAAATACAGTGTATTTTTATCCTTATCAGTTGATGGTACTGTGCTTGAATTTCAATCCTAAGTGAAGAATAAGTCTTTGATTTACGAACCTCATGTGCGGGATGTTGCAAAGATTATATTTTCCATCGAAGAAATATTGTCTTTAACTCAAAAATGCTTTTATTTTTTTCAAAGCCTACTAGCAGGCGTCTATAAAACTACATTTAATAAATTGGAGAAGGTTCAGAATTTGACAGCTAGAATCCTGACCAGGTCATGAAGAAGTGATCAAATTTCTCCTCTCCTGGAGTTCCATCAAGCCTCAATTTGATTTTTAAATCCTTTTACTTTCATTCACGATTCAGGTCAAGTATCTAGCCAATATTTTATCTGTTGATACTCCTCCACGTGACCTCTGCATTATTTTAAATGTGTTCCCACTGTGTGTCTGCACTCTGTGGGTGACAGGGCCTGTTGTAATCCCTGAAGCTCGGGAACACCATCTCTAAAGAAAGAAGGAATTCAGCCCCATCAGTTACTTTTTTGTGTAACCCTAAAGCCTTACATTTTCAGAAAGACTTTAGCGTGATTGTTTTCAAAGTGTTAAAATTAATTACAACTTCAAGAAAATGTAGCAAATATAGAACTGCTACATTTTCTTGACTTTTTAGGTAAATTAAGTACTTTTTTAAGACATAATATAAAATAAAGCTTATGAGTGTCACGGAGTTCTAGTTCTAATCAATTGAAATATTGTTTCATTTGATTTTTAAATACGTTATTATTTAAGAATTAAGTATAAGAATTACACTTAAAAATTACTTTAAAAATAAAAACAGAAAGTGCTGAAAACATACAGCAAAACTTACAGAAAGGTCTGTGCAATATACAGGAAGGTGAGGGAACATCTTCCTATTTGAATATTATATGATTGTTCATTGTTCTT